AACCTCGCAGAGCTCACGGACCACCAGTTATCTGTGGACCACTGGCTGGCGACCGCTGGCCTAAGCCATTGCTTCCCCTCTATTAGAGTCACTCAACCTGGACTCAGTGGAACTTAATATATTCAAATGAGCACAAACATATTATATTCAGAGAGTTATATTCAAATCAATGCATCCTTCCAACTCTCATACACAAACTGTCACTGATGCGGGGAAGAGGGCAGCTGTTTGCCCCGAGTCTTTGGAGGCAGCAATAGCTATTCGGTTGTGAGAAATCTCTAATGCCCATTAGGGTACCCCCATCTGCAACCTGTGACACCTGCACTGCCCACCCCTCAATCCGCTTCCCTGTACGCGTTCCCTTCGCCTGCCCTTCCTGGGATCAAGGGAAGAAAACGTGAGGATTCCAGACTCCCCCCCCATCTCCCCCAGTGTGGAAACTGAAGTCATCCAGGACGCAGAAGGGCCTCCTGAAGTAATCAGAAGTCTTTTTTAGATTTTCAGGGCGGTCATCCAGTCCAGGGCGAAGACTATTCTAACTCAAAACACATGAAGGCGAGTGCTAAGCTGATTCATCGCCCAGAGGTCTTCAGAAGTGAAGCTCCGCCCTCAGGCCCCGGCGAAGAAGACATTCTGCCTCAGGCCTCAGGGCCCTGTGAGCTTCCACATTCCATTCCTGGCGTCGGCATCTGTGTTTTGGCACACGTGTGTGTGAGTGCACACCGGTGCACACGCGCGCGCGCACACACACACCCTGCACATTTGTTTTTTCCAAGGCTCTCATCTCCCATGGTTTCTCATTTCATCCCAGTCTCCCAGTTTTTCAGAGACAACCCTGTGCCTCCTCCTCTCCTTCACCTCCTGCACCCAAGTTTGCAACTTCCACCCCCACGGCCCTTGACCCAGCTCCTTAAACCAAAACAGAAACCCTTCTCTCTGCTCTGAGTGGAGTAAAGGGTGGGCCTGAGAGCCAGTTACCATTCCTCTCCTCCCTTTGTGGGGAATCAGGGAAATGGTTTCTGCCTGCCCATGGTCCCTTATGCTCATGATGGAGCCACAGGAAACCCTCAAAGAGGGAAGTTATTCCCATGCTGAGAGGTAGCACAAAATTTGGACAGAGAGAAGGATCTAACTGGTTTAGCTGGACACTGAAGAACAGTGATTTGCAGCCTTCTTACAACACCCCAAATGTCTCCAGTCATTTTAAAAAGGGTTATAAAATTCTCAAGCTATCTTAAGAATTTGTAACAGAACCTGGCCAGTGTGGCACAGTGGTGGATAAGGAAAATAAGACATTTGGGGGCAGGGGTAGGGAGGGCAGCAGCCTGAGTCTGTATCTAGTTCATCAGAATCCCTATTGCACATTCCTGTCAGCCTATAATCAAGTCACTGCCCCTTCCTTAACTACCTGGTCTGGCAAGACCTGTTTACCTAAGTACTTCCATTTTACAGAGGCCATAAACCATGAACCATACACAACCCCAGAGGGGGTTATCAGCGCTGGCGCCAGGCCAGGCCTTTAGGTGTGGTCCCATGTCCCCCATCCCAACACACGGGCTTTTCGCAAAGCCCTGGAAAGGTCGGGAAGTCTGGGGGACAAAGAAACCAATGGGCATAAAGAGAAAGCTTCCTCCATATTGGCTTGCTCAGGATTTGGAAGGACCCCTGAGTCACAGTTCTAGGACATCAGGAAACAAATGGGGTTTTCCTGTGTCTCCGAGTACTCCTGTGTAAATTCTGTAACACTATGAGCCAGGAGGCCAGTGCTCATGTTGTGGGCTCAATCCCCAGTAGGGGGTGTGCGGGAGGCAGCCGACCAATGATTTTTCTCTCATCACTGATGTTCCTATCTCTCCCACTCCCTTCATTTATATCAATAAAAAAAAAATATTGCAAGTTAAAAAAAAAATAGAAGGGTAAAGAGCCCTAGCCAGTTTTCTCAGTGGTTAGAACTTCAGTCCACAGACAGAAGTAATGGTGGGTTCGATTCCGGGCAAGGGCAGTACCGTCCCATACAGGGCTTGGGCAGGAGGCAGCTGATCTACTAGTATGTATCTTTCTCCCATCTGTTTCTCTTTCTCTCCCTCCTCCCTCCCTTCCACTCTCTCTAAATAATATCATGGGGTGAGGATAAAAAAAGAAGTGTAGGGAAAACAGAGAGGGTGCATCCTCTGGGAGAGCCGTGCCTGCACTCTCCAGGTAGCACGGAGCAGCTCCATCCCTCCTCCCTCCGGCTCCTGCAGAAACAATAGGAACGATGAAGCAGGAGCCGGAGAGAACGGGGCCAGAGGACGAAGGCGCACAGCCAGGCCGGTTCTCTGGGAGCTGGACGCCCTGGCTGGTGTCAGAAATCACTGAAACAAAGCGGCGAAGCCTGCTGCACAGGGAGGTGCTGCTTGCTATTGGAAAAAGCGTGACCGAATGGTCCGTCCCATTCTTACCCGGCACAGCTTTGGTTCACCTGCCCTCCGCCCCCAGCTGCACAGCTCACTCGGCCCCACCCCCACCCCCACCCCCACCCCCACCCGCGCTGCGGATGGAGGAGCGGACTTTCATCAGCTGCTTGGCCGCGGCCAATGCCTCAGCTCCCCACCCGCTTCCTTCCCCGGCGGACAGCAGCAACAGGAAGGGGGAGAGAAAAGGCAGAGGGTGCAATAACCCCAAACCTTCTCATCTCAGCAGCCCCTCAACTGATCAGCAAACTCAATTCTCAGCATCTCCGCCTCGCTTCCTGGCTCACAACCAAACGATCGCACAAGGCTTTGCTGAGAAGAGGCGTGAGGCTATTGGGCCAGCACTGCCTCTCCCGGTCCGGGAGGGGGCATCGCATTACATTCAGAAAGGGATGCACCTGTTTCCAGAGGTAGCATGGGGTAGAAAGAGCTCGTAAAGAGTCCCAGATTGTTGCAAAAAGACAATGATTTGAAATTAAATATCTACATTGAGGCTGTTTGTGGAATTTAATGGGGGGGGGGGGAATAGAGGGGGATAGAAAGAACATGGGGTGGAGAGACCAGAAATGAGAAGGAAAAAGACAAAGAAAGAGAAAAACATACAGAATATAGTAGACAAAGGGGAGAAACCATTAAAAAAAAAATACAGATGCACAAATGCGGAAGCTGAGAGGAGGGAGCTGAGAGGAGGGAGCCAGCGCCTGGAAAGCAAGATGTTCTAGCAGCAGAGGGGGTGGGGAGGCAGGAGAGCAGAGCGGGAGGAGGAAACAAAGGCAAAGGAGCCGAGGACCGGAGGGCAGAGCAGGCCGGCCGGGACTTTACGCAGGTGAGTCCCCGAGGTTTCTCACTCTGGTTGCAGACTGCTTTCCTTCCCCTCGCTCCAGTAACGGAGCCCCTGTCTGCGTGGCACGCTCACACACCAGCTGGCTCCAGCTTTTGCCTTGTCTGCCCCCCTCCTCTGCCCCAGGTCACACTCAAGGTTTGAAGAGCAGCTTGGCACGTCCCCGGGCTGATATGCGCCCCTGCACACGCTCCCGTGCAGCAGCCAACCCCGGGCTCCCCCCCAGCTCCCGCCTCCTCACAAAGGCAGAGGCTGCGGGGGCTGCTCGCTCTAACAGGGCGCCTCCAAGCTGTGTGCTCAGTGACCCAGCTAAGCGCAGCTCCCGCACGGCGAGCCTCCATGTTCCCCAGCTGTCAGCGCTGCGTGGATTTCACCGGCTCTGCGGCCCTTCGGTGGAGACAAAGGGGAGGCAGAACTGCCCAGCTCTGGGCTTCTCCGGAGCTCCGAGCCGCAAGATTCCCGGGAGAAGAGTGATGAGTGATGAGGAGCTCATCTGAATGAGTGCCGTGCAGGCAGACGCCCTGACATACTGGAGGGAAACAAAAACCAAGACAGCGATGTTTAGGGGTGGCAGTGCAGGTGTCAAAGCCCTGGCGTCTCGGATGGGCCCTAGACAGAGACAAAGTGGCCTGAGAGAACAGGAGAGAGATTGAAAGGGAAGGGGCAAGCAGTCCCAGGCTTCAGAGTTAGGGAATAAATTATGTCCAGAAGGCCTGGCTCTCAAGTGGACCAAATGGCTCTCCTATCCCATGTTTATGGGTTCATGGGCCATTAAACCAGCCAGTCTACAGATGTCTTCATAAGACTTTACGAGATTAGACCGAGGAGACCCTATAACTCAGCAGCAAGAAGGGAGAATCAGATAAGAAATGGTGGAAACAAGAGGGCTCAGCCCTTCGGAGCCATCTCAGTGGGAGTCTGGTTCTGAGACCCCTGTCTTCCTCACTTTGTCTTCTGGAAGTTTCTGCCCATCTCCATTAATCACAACTGCACCAGACTTATCTTACCCAGTACATTTTTTAAAAATATATTTTATTGATTTTTTTTTATAGAGAGGAAGGGAGAGGGATAGAGAGCCAGAAACATCTATGAGAGAGAAACATCGACCAGCTGCCTCCTGCACACCCCCTACCTGGGATGTGCCCGCAACCAATGTACATGTCCCTGACCGGAATCGAACCTGGGACCCTTTAGTCCGCAGACCGACGGCTCTATCCACTGAGCCAAACCAGTTTCGGCACCTAGTACATTCTTGATTAGCTGCGTACTCTTTCCCCCTCTAATCCAACTTCCACTTGCCCCCACGCCCACCATACGCCTGATCTACAATCACTTGGTCCTCAGAGAGGACAGTTTCTTGGTTATTTATGAAGTAAATCAGAAAGATAATAAAAGTTATATTTACAAACACACGTTTTGGGATTTAGATTGTCAATATGGTTCCACACAAATTCTAACCAGGAGCTGACTCTTTTAGGAGTCCCTGGATTGCTGAAGGGTAACGTTTATTCTTTGAGCCATTGGGAGCAGAGACAAGCAAGGACACCAGGAGGGCATACAACCGGAATTGGTGAAGGGAACAGATTAAGGTGCAGGATACATTCTTATGCCCTCAACTGGCGCCACCCTGTGGCTATTTGCAGAAAGTCAGAGACCAACAACCCTTAGAAAAAAGCCCTTGTTCTCCAAAACCATTGCTCTTTCAGAAATACAAGTGTGGCTGCTGGCTGACACTGCAGGACCCAAATTACGGAAGGGGTGTAAGACCCAGATTTTCAAACCACCACTCGGGATCCATATTTGAAAAGCAACCATTTTATTAGAATCAATACAAGAGTATGAAAAGAGGGAAAACAGGAGGGTAGAAGAGGGGGAGAGAATGAGGTCTGCATTGGATGTCAGTTGTGAAAACACATAAATTGCCTACTTTGGAACATTTACATTTAAAAGGTGAACATATATATATATCTCACTTATTCTAAAAAAAAAATTAAAAATCAAAAGCAGACATATTTGGCTGAAATAAAACCGCGAAACACAACCAACACTCCCCCACAAACCAGTAAGTCCAGAGAGAATTCAATTTCCCATTTTCCATTCAGAAATCTGGCTACAAAGTATGATTTGTGTTGCTCCTCAGGATGGTACAGTGCTTAAAACCCAGCCTCTTGAGTCTCTTAGATCCCATCTGTGGGCCATGGTGAATCAACGCCTGGCTACTGGGCAGGATGTCAGACATGCTCTCTTGTCCTCCAGAACTCCAGAGCGTCTGCCCCGGTGCTGGGCGGACAGGAGCAGAGCCCACACAACACGGAGAGCCGGAATGTGACTGCGGCAGGAGGCTAGGACCTTGTGCTCTTTCATGGGTTACACATCCAGGGCCAAGGAGGGGGAAAGGAGAAAGAGCCCTATTGGGAAGAGGAGCGGGGTGAGCCCCTAACGTGAGATGGAGAGTAAGGCTCAAGCCAGCCACACCTGGGTAAATACAAAGTATCCAAGATTCTCCCAAACTACAGGAAAAAGCCGGTCGGATTCACTGTGGACACCGTGATGCTGAACGCAGTGACTGGATGAAGCTCTAGTCTAAAGCATATCAGTGCCCAATTCCGAGTATGAAACACTCCTCTAGGAAAAAATCTCCCAATGTGGCTCTTTTTGGTGAGGGCTGGAGGAAGTGGTTGTTTTTCAAACCAGGTGGCTTCTGTGGGGAGGTGGAGGCTTGGGTGCAGTGTCCCAGGTGTCTGGGAGTCAGTTCGGGGAGTGATAAGCAACAATATATAAATCAAACCAACGTCTTTCCTTTGCTTCTGAGATAGTTCGAGTCTGTTCCGAGTCGCTGGGGCACGGGACCTCAGTTCCCACCTGTAGAGAAAAATACGCAATAGCTCCCCTGCCCGGTGATCCCCGAATCCAATGCTCTGGGGTCTGAAACAGCCTCTCTGTGGATGCGAGATACAGAAAATACTAAGTGCCTTCCCCCCGAACATCCTAAATCTGGACTATAAAGACTCCAACATTCACAAAAACACTATCAACATCTGAACTAGCAGCTTTGATGAGGGGTGGGGGGCAGAAAACTTTCTGAGTTCCAACGTGGGGGCAATCAGTGAGGACTAAAGCCTATGTTAGGCCTGGACTTAGGCTCAAAGCATCCTCCACTGAGGACCCTAAAGCATTCTATCAACTTCGATTTACAATGCCTCACAAGACCCCTGTGAGGTAGGTCAGTATTATTACCCCCATTTGACAGATGGGGAACTGAGGCATTGAAAGGAGTGACTTGCCCAAGGTCAGCCATTATGAACCAGTCAAGGAGCTTGGCACACGTAGTCAGCATCCACTCAATTCTTATTCCTTCCCCCTGAGCATCTGATTTCTTAGAGTGCACTTGGGAGCAAAAGGGAGCCAGGTAAGTACACATTGCTCTGCAAACTGGGTCAACTCAAGCCAGCCACATGGACTGAGGGCTATTATGTGTCTAGCATATGTGAGGGATCTTGGAGAAACAAACTGCTTCTGCAAGCCGTGTGTTAACAGATGTTTTGAAAATAAAACTACATTTAAAATAATGAGGTGAAGGACTAAGTCACACTGATTTCCCAAAGTTGTGCACTGAGTAATCCAAATTCCTAAAATCCAGAAGGAAGTAAGACCACACTCCACCAGGAAGAGAACCATCCCCCAGCGGTGGTCTTGGGAGTGCTCTGAACTGCACGGCTGGCGGGGAAAGGCTGACAGGAATGGTGACAGCAGCCACATCATCTCCAGGCTGAACTAGGAGCACAGGAGCCCCAGCACCACCAGCCTCCCTCTTGCAGCTTCTAGAAGACAATCCTAGAAGACAGAAGCTTACCAACCTCTCTAGACTCGGCTCAACTTCTGGATTTGCGGCATCTTCACAAACAGCTCAAGATTAAGAATAAAAATGGTGACCCCCCTACCTTTCATTTCAGGGAGGGGGGGATAAAGCATTCTCTATAACTAGTCATAAGACTCTTACCCATACCTTCTTGCAGTAGCCAGAGCGGCAAGCTCTACATACATCAGAAGCTCAAAGAATGATTTATCAACACACACAGTATATGTTCAACAGGGATACTCTACTTCCGGGAAGGACCAACCATTCCAAGACCTAAATATAAACCTCTTTTCATTGATTGCTGATCACACCAAACAAATCCAAATGATAAAGTTCAAGACCGATTACAGTGGCAATGACAGTTCAGATTCAGTGTGTGTTTGGAACTCCTCAAAGTGTAACAGACTGGCCACTGGGGCCCGGATCAACGGTGAGGGTCACACCTGCCAATGCCAGGGGACATCATACACACAAAACACATAGAATGGCAAGATAAAAAGTTCATTGCATTCAATTTGACCTAATTTCTTGATAATAGTTTCCTATTAGACTGTCTGATTAATACTGATGGCTCTTACCTAGGCTGTGATAATTAGGTTTTGATCTATTGTGACATTAATGATCACAATCAGTTGACTTTGAAATTGTCTTAATTAATGACTCTTTTCTTGTAGGCTGCCTCCAGTGCTGTTCTGTCCCGCCTCCCCTCAGCCACCTCCTTATTTTAACTCCTTCTCCTCTTGATCTGAGTCACATAGCATTTGGAGAATCGCTTTCTTCCCATAAACCAAGATCTTAAAACATTTCTCTGAGAAGCATTATGTTAAAGTGAAATGAGGATTGGGATAAAAAGGTGAGAGAGCATGCTGCCAATGAATAGGAAAAAATCCATCTTAAAAACAGCCAAAGTCAAGCATGTTAGAGGCAATGACAAGTCAAAGTAACTCTAAAAAGACAAGATACAAGATGAGGTAGTTTAAAATTTAAGAAATCCAGCACAAGCAAAAAGAAACTAGAATTGTTTTTATGAAGCTATCCCAAAAACCTTCCCACTTTAATTTCCCAGGAGTTATTCTAATTCTTGGGAATTCTGACTTCTAAATAGTAGCCAATTCTCAATTGTTCAGGCAGAAAAAAAGAATCTTTTTCTTGTGGTCAGGACTAAACAATTTCTCAAGGTCAGACTGCTACTCAGTAAGGCTAGGCCTCACTGGTTACATAGAAAATTCCAGAATATGTATGTTTATGGGTGTCCACATAATTTAGACAAGTCTCTGCTTAGAAATCACCATCTTGCAGTATTGAATAAAACTACACTGCCCAGAGTCGACGCCCAGGTGTTAACAGATGTGCCCCAAGCCTTCTTTCTAGCAAATCTCCTGCCATTGTCAAATATGTCCCTGTTTTAGGCTTAAAGCCAGCCTCATGTTAATTCCTCCAAAAGAAAGAAAATGAAAAGGGTGTGAGAAACTGATAAAATAAATGAGGAATAAATGTTACAGAACCCACAGCAACATAGCAACACATAACTGAATCTGCAACACAGTTAATACTCTTCACAATAAGGATTAACTAGACCACTAATTACTTTGGCAAAGAGCCTAAATTAGGGATCAAAATCTGGGGTTCTCAATCCCCACTCACCTGTGGTTCTCAGTAATAGCAGCATTTCTAACTAACCTTCAGTTTTTTATTTTCTGGAATGAAACAAGCCCTTGTTGTGGTCTCTGACCAGTTAACTCAGTTCATGCAAGGTCACAGTCTTCTCCACATGTCAACTGTTAGCCACCTACTTTAGGGCCACAAACTGACAGACAGTTGTCTCTGCCCCCAAATCAGAAATGTGTATCCACTTAAAGCATTTTTTGCACTGAACTATTTATAGTCAGTTTACACCACACCAGCATGACAGTTCTTTGAAGCCAGGAAGTGCATCTTTTTGAACTTTATGTCACTTGGGCCAAAAAATGTTGAATGAATACTGATATATATTAGTGTAGCTCGCTATGGGTAGCTGAATACAAATCTGCCACTATTAATTGAGTAGAGGTACCCAATTCCTAGCATATGCTCTTGGATTCATGGCTGGTAAAGTCTGCTTTTGAAAACATAACTTTTACAACCAGTGGTAAAGCCAACATGACACTGGAATACACTGGGTCCAGACCTTTCCTTTTTCTGCTGAGCTACAGGTATGCTTGCTTGGTGGTCTGATTACAAAGGTACAGACCTCAACACTCTAATTTTTAGTCTAAAAATCAAAACCAAAAGAATGGAGTCATGGGGGCAAAATAAGCTTTTCCTTTGATCTGATTTGTGAGAAACACTTTCAACATTTTAAATCTAATGACATAACCGTTCCTAGGGTTCTCATGTCATTGCAAAATAGTATTTTAGGCCTGTGGTTTCAAACCCTAAGGGCAAAGACAACCACTCTCCAACCCAAAACAGACCCCTCTGCATGTTAGGTGAGCTGGCCTAAACACAGACCCAACAAAACCACAGGAAGAAAATCCCAAGCACCTCCTCCGAGCCCTATGAAGTGACCTAAAGTAAAAGTAAACGGATTGCAGCAGGGCTACAGAAGAGGAACAAAAAGTTAATAACTGCCCAGGCTATGGGAACAGACCAACCTTTCATGAAAAAAACAAAAAGTAACACACAGATATGACTGGGGGGACAGCCAAGGACCATCCAGACTTTTGAGTTAGAGAGCACCACAGTCCGAATGCTCCCTCGAGCAGACAAGAACTGCCTAGCTCTTTCCAGGTTAAAAACGGGCGCTTCCATCAGGGCTGATGTTTCTAACAGCTGATCTATTTGTGAGGGTATCAGTCCTGCCCATAGCACAGAAAAGTGGCTACCCTGACCTCGGTAGACTACTGGGCAAAGTTTTACTACATTCTGTGAAAGGGAGATCCTTGAATGCTGATTACTAAAGAAATTAGTAGAAAGGTGTTTTGAAAGAACTCAACACAGCAAAAACATACTGAGCATCCAAGACCTAAACGTTTAAGAGTGCTTAGCCATGGCTATTAACTCTTCTAAGAGAAACCCCCATGAAAACAAGTTTCTGTTTGAGGTTGCAATTCTCCAAGTGCCAGGATAGCTTCTCAATATTAAGAAAAGCTCGAGGGCCCTAGCTGGTTTGGCTCAGTGGATAGAGCATGGCCTATGGACTCAAGGGTCCCAGGTTCAATTCCAGCCAAGGGCACATGCCTGGGTTGCGGGCTTGATCCCCAGTAGGGGCAAGCAGGAAGCAGCCAAACAATGATTCTCTCATCATTGATGATTCTATCCCTCTTTTCTTCTCCCTTCCTCTTTGAAATAAATAAATATATATATATATTAAAAGAAGTATGTATCTACCACTTAAAAAAAGAAAAGCAAAGCTTAAGGCCAAGGGAGGCATCTGGTTTCCTTTCTGCTGAGGGCTGACAGCAGAACTGGCTTCTGGCTCCCTACATTCTATAGAAGCTGCTGTGGACAGGCAGGAGAGGGAGAAAACAAGAGTTGTTTTGGTGGTACTCAGCATAAGACTTTGATTCAATAAACTGTGGACAAAAAAAAAGATGATAAAAAAGGTAGTTAATGTATAATACTGGGGTTGTTAAAAGAAAATCAGATTTTGTCCTAACCAGTTTGGACCAGTGGATAGAGCGTTCGCCTGCAGACTGAAGGGTCCCAAGTTCGATTCCAGTCAAGGCATGTACCTTGGTTGTGGGCACATCCCCAGTAGGGGGTGTGCAGGAGACAGCTGATCAATGTTTCTAACTCTCTATCCCTCTCCCTCCCTCTCTGTAAAGAAAATCAATTAAATGCATATTAAAAAAAAAAAAAAAAAAGGGAAAAAGAAAATCAGATTTTGAAGAATGGCTACATGGTTAAGTGGTCATTTCTCCACCTGCAAACTGAGACCCTGGTCACTTCCTCAGGGGCTCTGGCCTACTCTACTCCTATGCTTATGTACCCTAATTAATATCCTTAATTATCTGTACGACAAAATCAATTTCCTGACCACCCTTTCTTGTGAATGCCCTTCAAATTAGTAGTAACTGTCAATTACCTAGCACTTGATCTAGGCCTTTAATTCCTTAAGAGTAAAGGAAGATGGAGATAAAACTCCTACCTATGGTTTGAGTTCTTACTTAATTACATTACCATTCAGAAGGATTTCCCTGGATGACTTAAACCAAAATCTTCATTGTTCCAGTCTGTCATGTCACTGCACCAACAGCTGTCTTTTCAACTGTGCAGTATAATTTTTGACATAATTTATAGAAGCACACAGAATTCAATCAGCAGCTAAGCAGGGAAGCCATGTTAACAAATGCTATGAATGGGCATATGATTTGCATATTATTCAGCTCAGTTCATTTGTGGACGAGAGCAATCTATTCATTCCCCTCATTATTCAAAATAATCTAGAAATGGTTGAATACTCCTGCCAGCTACATTTTAAAAATCAGCAACGAACAAAACAACCTTGATGACTGGTGAATTCGAGTGAAGGCTATTTCAAGCATTTATTCTTATTCCCTCAGCTTTGGGCTAGGACAAGGATGCTCAAAACCCTGCCATTTCCTTACTTTTAGCCTTGAATTTTTAGCCATCCCCCCCCAAAGAAAAAAAGAATAAAGAGAAGTAGGGCATTTCTAAGCAGACAGACAGGTTATCAGAAAAATAAACTCTCAATATAATGGCAAAACAGGAGGAAGTTAAAAGGAAAAAGGTTGTGTCAACATGCTAATGCCAGGGCCTGTCATCCTCTGAGGGGATCGTCTTCCATGGAAACACATGTTTAAAAAGAAGATACAAAGATTTTTGGGTGGAAAAAGGAAGAGCACTGGGGACTCTTGGCAAATCCAGGAGTCAATAAAGCAGGACATTGATGACTATAAACACTATGAATACTTAAAACTGATAGTGTAGCCACTGGCTCCCCTCCAAGAATTCCTCCCTGAAAATAATGGCGCAGAGGGGAAACGTGTGTCCGCTGAGAAGTGAGGAGCAGGTTTGAAGCCTCTTTGGTTAACAGGAATGAATGCTTTGGGAGGCCACAGGAGTTGACAGGGCTGGAGGGTGCCTAGCACCTTGGCACAAGCAAGCACCAGGCAGTCGCTCACACCTACATAAATATAGTTCAAACGTGAGGGCTGGAAGGAAACAATACACATATACCGTATGTAATAATAAAGACAACTGTATCCTACCCCATCATCTTCATGTCCTAACAGCTAAAAAGCTCCAGTTATTCATCCTGTCACTTTATGACAGACTACGCCACCTTGCAGAAGCAGAATCGGGGATTGCTAAGAAACAAAGCCACACGTCCTGGGGCTAGGAGTGCCTTGACAACTCTGACTAAAATTTCAAGTCCTCCAAGGATGGAGCTAGTCTGGGAGGATGGGTGCGGATGAACAACAGAGGGTGGCCCAGAAGACCACGCCAGGAACCCTGTATTCTCCCGGGTTGAGCTGAATGAGGTTGGGAACGCCCCAACAGGCAGGCAGTTGCTATTGGCTTTTTAAAAAAGATGGGCAACATCTTTTCCATCCCAAGATCTCAAGCAAAGGCTAGCTGGTCATCAACATGTTTTTGAGAACCAAATTTCATCATCATTGTAACAAAATCCCCCAATCTAAAAGTGACCAACCCTGAAAAGATCGAGACTCTCGGGTGATTAAAAAGTTAAAATTCATCTTGAGGTCACAGGGGAGCAGAAGAAAGAGACCAGGGCAAAGGACACAATGGTGGGAATTTTACACACAGTATGCAAATGCCTGGTCTTCACAGAGAGACACTAATCAGGAATCAGACCATCCGTTATGTTACAAGAAAACCAATACCAACAGTTCTCCCGTGGAGCACAGTGATAAGCACATTTTTGCATGAATGTGTTCGGGACAGAAGGGGGTAGGTAGGAGGGAAAGGAGGCAGGGAAGTGAATGTGTTATGTACAAAGAGAAATGACAGAGACCACCCCCTTCTTTAGCTCTTTGCTGTTTCTTTCTCTTTGTTTTCCGCATCCTCGGGATATGCATGCCACGTCAGTCTCTCTTCATAAAACGCTATCACGATCTGTGGACATTTTACGTTAGCTTCTTTCGCAAGAACCAGGTCTGCTTCATCCGTGTCTTTCCTGGGGAGAAAGAACAGGAAGGAGACTTAAGAGAAGAGGAAGTAAGACCGAGAGTCTGTCCAAATATAGGTTCCTGTCATTTGCTGGATTTAATTAACTTGATTTCCTCTTCATCCTGATTTCAAAGTGAGAAGAACCCTACCAGTTCAACGTTTTCTTTTAAAAATGTTTATTAAATTTATTGGGGTCTAATTTAATCTTTTCAAGGAGAAATTTAAATAAATTAATTAAATGATGGTAGCCCCCCTCTTACTTGTGGTTTCACTTTCTGCAGTTGGTTACCCAAGGTCAACAAATATGAAATGGAAAATTCCAGAAATAAATAACTCTCAAGTTTTAAATTGTGTGCCATTCTGAGTAGCATGATGAAATTTTGTGCCGGCCTGCCTGGGATTTGAAATCATCCCTTTGTCCAGGGTATCCACGCTATACATAAAGATATCCTGAGCCTGGCCAGTGTGGTTAAGTGATTGAGCAATGACCTATGAACCCCTGGTCACGGTTCGATTCACAGTCAGGGCATATGCCCAGGACTCGGGCTCAGTTCCCAGGTGGGGGGAGGAAAGGGGATGTGTGCAGGAGGCAGCCAATCAACTATTCTCTCCTATCATCGTTTTCTTCTCCCTTTCTCTCTGAAATAAATAAAAATACCTTGCCGGGACCGGTTTGGCTCAGTGGATAGAGCGTCGGCCTGCGGACTGAAAGGTCCCGGGTTCAATTCCGGGCAAGGGCATGTACCTTGGCTGCGGGCACATCCCCAGTGGGGGGTGTGCAGGAGGCGGCCGATCGATGATTCTCTCTCATTGATGTTTCTAACTTTCTATCCCTCTCTCTTCCTCTCTGTGAAAAATCAATAAAATATATTTAAAAAAAAATACCTTGAGAAAGCGAGCACATAAATTTAATTACACTGTACTCTTCTATTTTATCATTAGTTATTGTTGTTAACCTTTTACTGTGCCTAATTTATAAATTTAACTCTTTCATAGGTATGCATGTACAGAGAAAGAACATAGTACATATAGGGTTCCACACTATCAGCAGTTCTCAGGCATCCAGTGGGCCAGAAGGGCAGAAAGGTTGGGCTGTATCCACCACAGATAAGGGGGGATGACTATATTACTAAATATTGCATTGGTGAATACCATTTAACTACTACATCAGACAAAACAGAAATCTTCACGCTAAAATTTAGTTGATTAGTGGATTTAATCAAAAGACTAAAATTATATAAATTCTGTTGCCATAATTTTTATTCGTATGTGTGAGCATGTGCGCAAACACACAATCAAACCTACATTCATTCCTACTGATTATGCATAAAGTGATCAATCCAGTTTCTGGATCATCTAAGTGAAAGCGTCCTAAACCCTCCTCATCTGGTGTCCTTTTAAACATTCTTTATCTTTTTAGCCATAACTGTGGATTGGAATATTAAGAGAACAGAAATTTAAGTCAGCAACAGTATTTATAAAAGGGAGAGCAGAAAAAATGTAAAATCTAGTACTAAAATGAAATGTAGGAATTAACTGCAAAGTTCAACTATGGAAGTTACACAGGGTCTGCTACAATATAACAAAAAATATAGCAGTTCCTCAACCAGGATTCCAAATGAAGAAAAAAAAATATTTAAATCAAAATTCCACTGAGATGTGAGTAAAGAGAACTATGTCCTTGTCTAGAAAACGGAAATGTTTATATTACAGAGGTAAGTATTATGAGTGAGAAGAGGAGGGGAAAACACGTGGCTTAGAAAAGATACTCAAATTTGGACTGTGGTGCACAAGTTAATATGTGACTATAAGTCATAAGCAGCACATATAATACAGTGGAAAAGCAATCAACACAGCTTACTTCTGAAAGAGTATAGTGACTCTTGAAAAAATAGGCTTTTGGGTAATTAACCAGCAAAATTTTGATCAAATAGCTGGTTTTCAAAAAAAAAAAAAAAAAAAAAAAATAGCTGGTTTTCCTCAGTGGTTAGAACGTTGGCCCTCAGACGAAAAGGTCACGGGTTCAATTCTGGTCAAGGGCAGGCTTGATCCCCAGTGCTGTTAGGAGGCAACCAATCAACAGGTCTCTCTCAAATGGATGTTTTTCTCTCTCTCCCTCCCTTCTAAAAACCAATGAAAAGAATAACCTCCGTTGAGGATTAAAAACAACCACAACAAAAAGGCCAAATTGCTGCTCAGAGAAGAGAAGAACCTAGGAACTTCGTAGGGGATCATCCCTGGCAGGCAGGCAGGCCCCACCCCAGGACCAAATAAAATGTTACACTTTTTTTTTTTACAGACAGGAGAGGAGAGGGATAGAGAGTTAGAAACATCAATGAGAGAGAAACATTGACCAGCTGCCTCCTGCAGGCCCCCCACTGGGGATGTGCCTTGACCAGAATGAGCCTGGGACCTTCAGTCCGCAGGCTGACACTCTACCCACTGAGCCAAACTGGATTCGGCTGTTACACCTTTTGATTATACAACATTTACGGTAATTAGCTACCTCGGTGGCACCAGAGAACGAACCCTCTATTTAGAGAGCAAGCCTAAATCATAAGCTCAGCGCACTGGGATACGGGAGGTAGCTGGGCCAGACCATAAAACACCCTGTCTTTTAGAAACCAAACTGAGGGGAAGTGACTACACTTTCCCCTAAGAGCCATTCCCTCCACCGGATGAAATAACTTGGGCTTTGGCCAGTATTATCCTTAATGCTTTTTGTTCAGATTATGTTTCTTTTAGACATTACTCAGTGGTCTTGGTCCTCAGGGATGGCAGAAAGCCCACTTGCTCCTATCCCATGGCCCCAGGCTCATGGTCTAACGGTAAATGATTCAGAACCGTGAAAAAAAACAGTGGTTAGGTCATGTTTATATGTTTCCTACCTCAAACCTACCTTTTTCTGGTACGTGGGCTAATATAATTTGGCTTAATACCAAAACTTAAGAATGTCTCGAATTCTTTAATTCATTCCAAACCATAATTCTCATTTAATACAGATAGTTGGTGTCAATGAAAGGTCCTTGACAATCAAAATGCTTGGTTGGGAAATACTCCATCTTCCCTCCCTATCTTCCATACAAACTCAAGTTACTGGCAAAAGAAACCCCACAATTGTTGAGTAATATCCAATCGCTCTCACCATTTCATTAGGAACATTAAATCGCCACAGGAATCTGTCGCCCCAATGATCTTTTCTGGTTCCAGTCCTCTCTCAAATCCCCGAGCGATATCATTGCTTTGCTATAAATAGAAGAGGAAGAAAAGTTACAGCTGGGAAAAAGTTAAAACCTGTTTCTCAGCTTAGCAAAGCACCACCTAATTTAATATCACCAGATACCATTTTTGTAATAAAAGTCTTAAAATTTAAGAAATACAATACTGGGTCACCTAGTGACAGTGATGCCAAAAGATATTTTTGCAAGAAGATGCTGTTGTCCCTCCAGTATTCCTTCAAGATTAGGAGTGGCCCCTAAAACTCTTCATCCTGGAGTCATCAATGGGAACTCCTCTAACCCAATCTCCTTAATGATATCAATTGCTTCTGAAATGATAAACAAGTCCAGGTTTACCCAAACTAAATACTTTTTTGGATTATAAACTTCCAATATACTACATCTCTCCATCTTTACTTTTTCAGACTTTTAGTTTACTTTAACACTGACCCATATTTTTAATACTTCTTTTCACAAAGTCATCTGTATTTATGAAAGAACAGAGGTACAAATGATTCAAGACAGTACCATAAAACAACAAATTTCTTTCCAAGTTCACACACTGCATTACCCATGCTCTGGGAGAAGAGGCCGTGGTCTGCGCCTATTTGCTCCTGATGTGGATGAGTCATTAGCATTAGAGTACAGAACTGGACAGTGATTAAAAGCAAGCAAACTGATTATTCTCTAGGAGAGTATTCAAATTTGGCCAGAATGCAATCTAGGTAAGGAGCACAGAGTCTGATTCAGTTCTGATGGCACTGGTGAGAACAAAATGGCAAAATTTTATGCAAAGTAGGTAATTTTTAATTTTGTTGTTTGTTTCAGAGACAAGAAGGGGTAGAGAGAGAAACATCAATCGGTTGCCTCCTGCATGCATTCCCAACTGGGATCAAACCCAAAACCTGGGTACGTGCCCTGACACTTTCTGGTGTGCAAAATGATGTTCCAAACAATAAGCCACACCGACAGGGCACAAAACAGGCGATGTAAAAAACATTATGGAAGATGAAGACTGCACAAATGAACTCACATCTGATGTCTGACTTTCATAAAATCTCTTTGATCTGACATTCACCTCCCTTGCTCCTTGCTCTCTTCTGAGACATACAAACATTCAGGGTCCAGGTGGTCCCCAAAGATACCAGAACCCACACTGGGAAGGAAATTCCATGCATGGATCAAGGGAGACGCTGACTCAAAAACATAGCCTTTTTGGGGAGCTTTTAAGGGGAGGAGGTTCCCAGATGTGCACACAGATGCTCACAGCTGGAATGCTGGCACATGAACTGAGTCATAAATCATAGCTGGCAGCTGAAAACAGTTTGCCATATAGGGAGGGGGGAAGAAAAATGTTCAAGCTGAATAGGTGACGAGGCGAGGAAAATGCAAAAATCATCACACAGGCAGTAATCTTAAATCAGGCATAATGCCAACTAACAAAGTTTTTCCACATTAGTCTAAAGAAAGGCAACCCCCTCCTGTACCTTTAAAACTTACAATCACCTATCTTCCTAGCTGCCTAGATGACAGCCACCAGCACTGCTGAGAATGCTGCCGGGGCCCCAGATGGACATTACAATATAAGGGATGATGGAGATTGTTTTCAAGGTCGGCAGCATCAGAGCGTGGCCTAGGAACAAACTCTGCTGTGGCCAGTAGCTCTAAGCCAGACTGTTCCTTTTTAAAAAGAATGAAACCTTAGGTTGAGGATATAAACACTCCATGTCACAAATGGCTAGTCAGAAGTCTTACGCTGTGTTGTTTTTTGGCTTCTTTACTCAGCTGGAGAATTAGTCAAATGACAAAAGCCAGAACACAAAGGATTAATTATAAAAAGGTATTATAAGTATACACCTGAAATGTATATATTAATCAGTTACCCCAATAAATTTAAAAAAGAAAAGAAAGAAGAACCAAATCTTAGCTCCTTAGAGAAGGAAAGGCATTCTCAAATTCTTTATCAGTTTATTATAATGGTCTAGTTTAATCATAATGATATACACCTCACCAGAATAGAGCAGTTTTACAAATAAGGCAAAAATAAAATCAATGAGGGAAACAAATAAGGAGACAGACAAACCCAGAGTCCTTTTTCACTTGCAGCCTCCAATCTTTCACTCTTCTAACAATTCTTTTGGGAAAGCTCGTCTCCCATTTTCTCTCCTATAGAGACCAGATCCAACTCACAGAAATTGAATGTAACTGGTCTGGGGTGCATTTTTGGCTCTGGAGGTTTTTAAAAGCATACACCCCACACCCCCATGGCTGTAATGTATAGCCAGAGCTGAGAACTAATGCTCTACAAAGACAGGGATCCAAGCAGAATGAAGATAAATGGGGATGCTTATGACAGTGATGCTAGAAGATTCAGAAGCAGACTTATGCTTTTATTTTATTAAACTTTAAGGTTATGATACATCCTTCACCACAAAACGCTTCACGACCTTGAAATAAAGGAACGGAGTGGAAGCTTGAAGGGAAATATATATATATACACACACATATATATGTATATATATGTATGTATGTATGTATATGTGTGTGCACTTATGGAAAAGCATCGATGAAAAAAAGAGGCAATAACACTGCTCAGGCTGGTACCTTGAGATCTAAAGCAGCTGAATAAAACCAAAATTTTATAAACAGACTTTCCAAACTGAAAAATAAAAATATTTCAAAAAAGAGATGAAGCCCTGGACAGTGTGGCTCAATGGCTGGAGCATCATCTCATGCACCAAAAGGTCGTGGGCTCAGTTTCCGACTGGGACACAAACCTACATTGCGGGTTTGATCCCTGGCCCGAGTCAAGGTGCAGCCAATTGATGTTTCTCTCTCATACTGATGTCTCTCTATCTCCCTCTCCCCCAACTTCTCTTCTCTCTTTCTCTAAAAAAAGAACATGTCCTTGAGTGAGCAAGGGTTAAAAAAAATATATATGAAATTAATTTCTTATGTAAAGTATATAAAAATAAGATAAAAAGAGAATATACATGTCAATGAACTATATACTTTAAAATGGTTAATTGTATATATGTGAATTTCATGTCAATGAAAAAAAAAGAAAGAATATAAAGGATAGAAAATAAGGGGCTATCTTAGGAACAAAAGAAAAAAGGAAGTGGTAAATGTTTTAAAGCCCTTTTCTATCCTTAAAATTCACCAAAAAGCCTTCCTCTCTAAGAGAGCTTAGCTTTCTTTGAAGAAGACAGAGAGTGGCTGAATGTTTTATAGGGATTTAATTCAATGTATATGTATTACATTTCTCATTCAGCCAGGAGGGGGCGCTGTAGTTAATCAACATACTGGAAGCTCTTTTGTTCAACAATTTTACCTTGAAGGCCATCTTTAGAACAGAAATAAACAAAATAAGGCTTCTTTGGGGGGCGGGGTGGAGGACAGGGGTGCAGAAGAATAGTTTGTGGGAAAAGGGGGAAAAGAAAACTTACCTCTCTCTTTTTTTTGGATTTGATATCATCAGTACTGTTTGAGAAACTGGATTTCCTCTTGTTAGTTTCTGACTTCTCCCTGGGTTTGTTATTTTCACCCTCCTTCATCTTCTTATACTTTTTCATAAACTCAGAAATTAGCTCAGGGCAATCCAAATTTTTCTCAGGTTCCCAAGTATTGTGCTCCCTGGGCAAGAAGAACAGAGAAAAGAATCAGGGGGGCGGGGTTGGGGGAGAGGGGTGGGATCTAATGCCTTAGTTTAAAAAGGACAAGTAGACAAAAGGGAAAGAGACCTTAAAGGAACAAATTTAATCCTAGGAATCTAAGAAAAATGAAAAAATTAGATATTCACAAAAAAACTTCTACACAATTATTTATAACAGCATTTTAATGGCCAAAAGTTAAAGACAATTAAAATGTCCAAGAACTGGTGAATGGATAAACAAAATCTGGCATATCTATACAATGGACTTCTATCCAACAGCAAAAAGGAACACAATACTAATTAATACACGCTACAACCGGGAAGAACAAAACATCCAAAATACTATCTAAATGAAAGAAACCAGATATTGTCTGATTCCATTTGTATGAAATGTCTAGGAAAGACAACTTGAGAGACATTTGAGAGAAAGCAGATCAGTGGTTCCCTGATGCTGGTGTCTGGGCCTTGGGGTTAACTAGATATGGGCTCAAGGAAATTTGGAGAGGTATTGAAAATTTTCTAAAATTGGAGTGTGGGGATGGTACACAACTCTATAAATTTGCTAAATATAAAATTCATGAATCATACATTTTCGATGAATGACTTTTACAGACTGTAAATGATACCTAAATAAAGGTGTTAAAAACTCAAATATTAACTCTGTAAGTAGCAAAATAATGTGATTTCATACATGCAATCATCTATGCAAATTCTGAGAGGACAATCTAATAAATCACACAGGACCCCCCCCTTTAAATATGTTACTTATATCTTGAAAGAAATGTCAACAAAATTAATGAAGGATTGGAAATCGTTATTCAGAAAAAAAGGCAATTTTAATCATTAGAATATAGACAAACCATAAGAAGACTCAGAAATAGGAATTGGAGTGCATTAATTCAATGGTCTGGATTCAAGTCTACTGTTACTAGTCAGTCAAAAATACATTAGTATAGCCCTAGCTGGTTCGGTTCAGTGGATAGAGCGTTAGCCTGCGAACCGAAAGGTCCCAGGTTCGATTTCCATCAAAGGCACATGCCTGGGTTGTGGGCTCGATCACCAGTGGGGGACTTGCAGGAGGCAGCTGATCCATGATTCTCTCTCATCATCAATGTTTCTATCTCTCTCTCCCTCTTCCTTCCTCTCTGAAATCAATCATTATATATATATATATATAATATTAATAAGCAAAATAAACAAACCCAAGCTGAATAATTGGGTCTAATTAAACTTGGAGCAAGGGAGTCCCATTGGGTTATATAGAAAAGACTAGTTTATATTAAGATATATCTGTAAATGTATCAGAGAAGCAGTTCCTACAATGCCTTCATTGACTTGGGAACATTTTTATTTTATGTACTACCCATTTTAGATATTCTATTGTTTTTTAAATAAGGCATTTTTAGGTAGGAATGGTTTGAACACGTGACATAACTTGACTCAGGTAAGAAGCAGAATGATGAAAAAAATCTAAGATATTTCTCTAAACTTAAAACAACTTTTTGCAGTGATGTGGCTCAGTAGTTGAGTGTCGACCTATGAACCAGGAGGTCATGTTTAAATTCTCAGTCAGGGCAAATGCCTAGATTGTGGGCTTGATCCCCAGTGTGGGGTGTGTAGGAGATAGCCAATCAATGATTCTCTCTCATCATTGATGTTTCTATCTCTCTCTCCCTCTCCCTTCCTCTCTGAAAAAAAAAAAAAAATTTAATTATAAAAAATGTTAATTATAGAAACTAGATGTTATGTATCTGAGTGTTCACTCAATTTCTTTGAACTCACTGTATATCTGAAAATTTCAAAAATAAATACTTGAGGGTGGGGGTGTGGTGAGGGGCCAACACCTGGGACTGTGGCCTCATATATGACAGCATCATCCCAATATGCCAAGGTTATAGGTGTAATCCCGTTAGGGCACATACAAAAGTCACTCAATGAATGCATAAATAAATAGAATAACAAATCAGTGCCCCTTTCTCTCTCTAAAATCAATTTTTTTAAAAATCAAGTAACAGCCGAAACCGGTTTGGCTTAGTGGATAGAGCGTAGGCCTGTAGACTGAAAGGTCCCAGGTTCGATTCCGGTCAAGGGCATGTACCTTGGTTGCGGGCACATCCCCAGTAGGGGTGTGCAAGAGGCAGCTGATCGATGATTCTCTCTCATTGACATTTCTAACTCTCTATCTCTCTCTCTCTCCCTCTCTGTGAAAAATCAATAAAATATATATTTTTTAAAAAATCAAGTAACAGTAGAACTGGAAGGAACATCAAACAAAAGATAAAAATAAAAAAGAAAGATAAGTGCTTCATCCTGGGACAGTTCTGCGATCCAGGGGTCCTTTTGGAAAGCTATGGGCTGTAGGATCCACGATGATGACTATTTCTTTAACGTATATGTTTCAGCTTAGTTATATGCAAAAGAATAGCAACAGCAACAGTTTCTGCTTACACTGAGCTTATGTATCAGGCTCTGTATACCTACCCAACATCTCTGTTACAAGTATTATTTCTTATCCCTATTTTACTGCGAAGAAAAAAAGAAAATTAAGGAACTTAACCAAGGTCACCCAGCTCCTATCATTGTAAGGGGTGGCATAACCTAGGCATCCTGGTTCGCAAAACTACGTACCTAACCAATTCACTATACTGCCTCTCAGAGGCATTATCATTAGCGTACCAGCTCCAAAGAAGGGGAAGACTTTATTTAGCTTATTGCTGCGTCTTCTGACTCTTAGGAAGGAGTGCAGGGGGGGTGGGGAAGAAAAAGACAAAGTGGTGGTGGTTCACGGGGAAATAAACCAAAGGCGTCTATCTGCAGAGTCCTGTGGCCTGAGAGGAGGCACTTACTCAGAAAAGCCTTTCCACTTCAGTAGATATTCCACTTGCCCCTTAACCACACGCCTATCTAGCACCTTCTCCACGACGTATTCCTCCTCATCCTCTGAAGAAGAACTGTCAGCTGTTCGCTTGGTTTTCTTTCCCATGTCGCACGCTGTTCCACCTGAAGGACTAAGGCCACTAGGTTCCTGCAAAGGGGAAGGACATGATGGTCAGAATCCACGTGAGGAGTTAGAACTGTCTCTTCCTTTTAAAATCCTCACCTGAGGATAGGCTTGATGATTTTAGTGAGGGGGCGGGGGAGAGAGGAAGAAACAGCAGCTAGTTGCCAGTCCAGTGTGGCTGATTGCTGAGCATCGACCCATGAACCGGGAGGTCACGGTTCAATTCTTCATTAGGACACATGTCCGGGGTTGCAGGCTCGATCCCCACCCAGTAGGGGGCCTGCAGGATCAATGATTCTCTCTCTTCCTTAATGTTTCTATCTCACTCTTCTTCTCCCTTCCTCTCTTTAAAATCAATAAAAACATTTCAAAAAACCAAAACATCAACATTCGATTGTTTCCTATACCCTCTCCAGGGATCAAACCACAACTTAGGTATGTGCCCTGACAGGGAATCGAGCCTGAAATATTTTTGGTGCATAGGACAATGCTCCAACCTACTGAGCCACCCAGCCAGGTTTCTCATCCTTTAAAAGCCGGCCCTATCCTCAGGGAGGCCCTCCTACACCGAGAGAGAACTGCTGAGCCTTACGCTAGACTCCCATTACAACCGAGCACAGGGGAGCAGAGAAAGCAAAGGCCGGGACAAGTTTCTGTCTCTTCTCGATGAGATACAAAGGTAATAACACAACTGCCCGTTACCCTTCTCTCGGGCCTTGAAGCATTCTACATACGAACCCTAAGAATTTAATAAAAAATGGGTCTAATCCCCGTTTTCCAAACCACAACTTTCTCTTCCACTAACAGGACCCAAAGGAGACGGTACAAGTGTCTAACTCTCTAATTTCAGATTCCAAGAGACAAGTAGTGTGGTATGCCTCTCCTGGCTACTTCGGTAATTGTCTACCAGCCAGAAACTAAAATACAAAGGCGGAAAACCTGCAGTTAAAAGAATCGTGATAGCTAGAACCTTCCCCTCTATAGTAAATAAGGTTCCTTATAAAAATGAAGAGGGAAAAGCCACTAATGTAACTTTCCGCTCTGAGCATCTTGACTGGTCAGGCTCTTGGCAGCAGAGAAAGGCCTGCGCAGGCATCTCTCACCACATTTTCCGAGACTCGGTACATTTCCCTTAAACAAATTGAGCTTGTCTCTTCGGGCATCCATCAGCTCACAATAGCAAGACTGACATCTCTACGCCTCCTTTTTCATTTTCATTCGGGGATGGGAGGGAGGAGCAAAAAATGTTTAGTCCTAAAAATCAAAATCAGTCATTGGGTTGCTCAGTAATTCTCAACGCTCAATAATACAAATAGTTAGGAGGTACATTTCCTCTTGAGTTGGCTCCAGGCCAAAGAAAGAGGAGGAGGAAAGAGAAGTCTGGCCCCAGCCTCACATCAACATGAAGCCTCAAAACACAGAGGAACCATTCATTGGCCCAGGGAGGGCTGAAGGCAACACAAATGGAAATTGAGTTAAGCTCAGAAATATGCACAGCCAGGGGGTACTCAGCAGAGAACCTCGTTTTTTTAAATTCCCACGTTGTTACCATAATCATTTTTAAGAATACTTCTTTAACCATGCTAAATGGTGCCTACAGTCTGGATTATAAATTAGCAGGAATTGTTTTCTTAGCTGAACTCCATATTTATCTTTAAAGATTTTTTTCAGCAATCTCTATAAAAATATTTCCATTTTGACCAGACCATTCCCAGAATGAGGGAAGGTCACTACTAATCTCAGAATTTTGTTCAGGCCAAATAGCATAAAAAGTTGCATTTAATTTACTTCAAATAGCAAAATGTAAGAAATTATTCCAAGAATAAATAGTTGGACACCATATCTTCAGAACTTGCTAGCAATAGGTCTGCCCATAAAAAAAAAACACACAAACCTGTCTATACCCATCACTGCCCTGTCATAAAACTAAGTTTTCATTGAAATCGTTTATTTGGAAGAGGAGGTGTACGGGAAAAATGTAAGGATAGGGCTTCAAAATAATTTTTCAGCTTCAAGGAAAAAAAATCTGATTTGATTTATTTAAAATTAAAATAGCCTCCGACCTCACCAGAGACAGGAAATGTCATATTCCAGGGAGAGCACCCCACCCCACCCCCGCTCACCTTGGAATTTCCGGGAGCTGAGCGGCAGTTCAGAGCGCTGGGGTTAAAAGCAGCCCGGGGCTGGATGCATGCAGTGAAGCATTGTGGCCACGGCCTCCCCAGCCTCACGAGGGAAAACAAGGATTTACATATGTGCTCTTCAGTTTGAGGGAGAAAAGGGGGAAATCTCCCTTTGTCAATTCATACAGAAGGGGCTCCCCAAAGGGAGCAGACGAACGGGGGTTCTCTCCTTTACCTACCGGAGCGCCCCACTTCTTTCTTTCCCTCCGGGCTAACAGGAGGGCCTCCCCTCCCAGATCTGGGGCTTGGCGGGCTGGCAGCTCCCCCGCCCCCACCCAGCTGCCCGGGCGCCACTGCGCAGCTGTCCCAGTCTGTTGCCATGGCAACTGGCAGCAGTACTAGACCAAGAGGGGGAGAGGCAAACTGAAAAGTTGAAAGCCTTAACTTTCCTTTTCGGTGAAGGCCGGCCAAAGAGCCTGGAAGGCACCTACCTTGGCCTCAAGAGCTCAAGGGAACTGGTTCTTGGGTTTTAAATCCAAAACTTGTGCTTATTCCTAAAACCACTGGGAATGAATCAATAGCATTTTCAGAGCTTCTAACAGGATTATAGCTCAAATGGAAGGGGGAAGGGAAAGGCCAGGTTCCTCTACAACAGAATCAGTGCAAACCACCCATCCCCTAATCCAGCCACCAGAAGCACTTCACAGGGCCTCTCCTACCATCTGTCACTGCAGTTAATTAAAATTGCTGGGAGGAGAGGGGGGGGGCGGAATAACACAAAAATGGGAAGGCGCGTATTTGGGATACTATATAACTGTCCTTCTCCGATAGATTACTAGATACAGAAACAGACCCGGAGACTTGAAACACTACAGAAGAACTTTTCAGCTGAAATTATAGATAGAAAAAATACTTAATCCTTAAGTACTTTTAAAAAAAGTGTAGGGGAGAGCAGTCCAACCCCAATCATCACTGTTAAAACCGCTTCTCATAATGTTCTTGTAATGTTATATAGCAAATTTAAAAATGATTACTACCCATCCAAAATATATATAACTAAAAATTATATAGTTATCAATAATCCTTATACTTGAGAAAAGGACTGAGACAAAGAAAAAATACTTAGAAACCTGCAGTCCCACAAATTTGCATTTCTCCTGGTCCCAAAGAACATTTTTAGAGAGCTCCAAAACCCTACTCTGCTCTATAGATACTTGTCTTTAGAGCCAGAAGTGGCTGCCGAAGGACAGTTATAAAGGAACAATAAAATTAAAAAAAAAAACAACCTGAGGGAAAAGCAGAGAATGGTGACTATTTTGGTTATAAAACAGAAGAAATTATAGGGTATGACAGCAAAGCAGACAAGTTTTCAACTACAGATTTTCTCAACTTTGAATAAACCATCATGATATCAGAGTAAAAGTTGCCTTTTTTAACTTTTCCTAACTTTTTTTTTTTTAACTTCCGCAGCTAAGGGATGACAAGAAAAATAGTCCAAGATGTTCTAAATTAAAATTACAGAGTTAGAGAAAGAGAACGTTATAGCTGTGGACCCAGTCTGAGAAAAAACTTCTCACATTTCCTATGTATCCGTTGGAATTTAGTATTAGTTTCCAGGTGGCTATTCTGTGATTATCCAAACGGGAAAAGCCAGGTGCAACAGAACCCCAGGAACCTTTGCATTTTATTTACACACGAAGTTTCCACCTACTGCCCGCGCTCATCACAGGGAGGCATGTCTTTTTTCTTTTAAATATTTTATTGATTTTTTACAGAAAGGAGGAGAGAGGGATAGAGAGCTAGAAATGTCAATGAGAGAGAAACATCGATCAGCTGCCTCCTGCACACCCCCGTGTGCCCGCAACCAAGGTACATGCCCTTGACCGGAATCGAACCCGGGACCCTTCAGTCCGCAGACCGACGCTCTACCACTGAGCCAAACCGGCTTCGGCTCAAGGAGACATTTCTTCCTTAAGGCCTCTACGGTGCCCAGCCCAGAACCAGTCCTGCTTCACCTTCTCCCATTTCCTTTGTCTACAGCTAAGGCAAACCCTTTCAAAACAATTACATCTTTCTCCTCCCTGCTGTATAAAAACGCTTGCAAAACTCCAGGACAACAGACATGTTGTCTCTCCTACCTAGCCATGCTGCTGGTGGTTAGACTCCATGCCAAGACCGGTCTTTTTTTTTTTTTTCTTTTTTTTTTTGCTAGCAAATAAACCCCTTAAAAAAAAAAAAAAAAAAAAAAAAAAAAAAAAAGACTTGCTTTAGTGGAAACTAAATTTTTTTTTGTTTAACTGGTATATGAAAATAAATGCCAAGGAATTATCAGTGTTCTGATTCTGTGATTAACTTGCCAAGTGTGATCTTGAGTAAATAAATTTTCAATCTAATCCCAGAATCACTAAAATGGGCCAAATAAATCCCACCGCCTATCTCCTAGGGAAAGAGTGAGTTTATGTTGAAACCAAAGAGCTGTTCAGTCCCCTAAAGAGAAGCTTTCGTAAAAATATTATAGGGCCGAATGCAACAGCAGCAGGAAATATGACCTTCCAAATTCCTAAGCCATTAAACCATATCACATATGCAGTAACTCCTGCAGTTCAACATGTTAGACAGCAAGAAAGGAGGAACGGTGTCCCTGTTAATTAGGCAACGGTAAACTAATAAGCCTTCCGAGAACGGGCAGGTATGTTCTCTCTCAAGGATAAAATACCTATTCTTATGCTTTAAAACTCAGAAAAGCATAGGAGATGGCAGAATGAAAAGACTAATAGTAATTCTGTGAAGGGATAAAGGACAGGAAAGATTAACCCTTTTTGCAACACTGTCCTTTGGGGGTGGGGGAGTGAATTCAAGGAGGAAAGGGACAAAAATGTTCTGGAGTCCACCCTGCTCCCTAAAACAGCAAGGAACAGAGCCAGATCAATTTCCTCCTTCCCACTCCTAAGACCTGCCTAAAGGGCGCACGGCTGAAGTCCCTTATTCTTTGGGAAATGGGTTTTGTAACAGCTGACAAATCAAATTGGGCCTGATGCCAGGAGTCAGAGTCCAACCATAATATTCGGTAAAGAATGGCATGCAATTGTCTTGTAAATCTCCTGGACAGTCACAGATCAGAAGCTGGCAAGGATGACGACATAGTTCTGATGGAATGTGTCTTATCTTAACCTTGAAGTTACAGATCTGCTCAGGAGCAGCAGTAAGAAATGAGAAATGCACCCAGACATCGGAGGGGACATAATTCTCTTTTTAGACAGTGCGACCCAGTGTATTAGGGTCAAATGAAACACAAAGCCAGACAGACAATTTAAGGGCTAGAGCCAGGACCAGATAAAGCATCAGGACTGGTGGTTCAAGCTGAGCTTGGGAGGAGGGAGCGATCCCAGGATGAGAAATGAGACATGGCTGGCAGGATGATGGAGTGATTATGGTAGAACCCCAATACCATGCAGGAGGAAGAGAGCATAAGCCTCTGAATGCAACCTTATCCTTGTGGAAATCTCCATGGGAAGGGGTGAGTAGCTTCTCAAATTTCTAGTCTTACAGGCATAACAGTTCTCACCCCTTTCTGGAATATACACAGGAACTCTCTGTTAAAGATATCAGCATCTACACATAGACTCCGGCAACTTAACTGCGCATAAGGGTACAAGGAAAGAGCAGGCCCCACCAACCCTTTATTTCAATGATACATGGCAAATTCACCTTACAGGCCTCTCGGTGTCAGGGAAAAAGACACCTAAACCAGGGGTCTAGTGAGAGTCAGCCTTGGAAAAACATCAAAGAGCACTAAAGTCAGGCACATTCCACGTTGATAACAGAAGACATCTTTAACAGATGGATCTTCCAGGGGGGAAAAAAGGAGGTCATGTGGGGTGGAGAGTGAGGAGGTGAGGCAGAAAGAGAGGAACAAAAAATCCCCACGTTACAAGGATAAAAGAAAAAAATGTGTTAAAACTGCCAATCCCCAGAAATTAAAGAGGAAAGCTAGGGAAATCCAGAACAGATGATGGTTACCATTTGCATTAACCAATCAATCCTGAAACCACAGAACCACCCACATTGGGTCTGATAGGGGTCTGTTCTGAATAGTTCAGGCTCTCCTCTAGTCCCTCTTCAACACTGCCTGTTTGGCAGCTTTTCTTAGAGCTTGGTGTAGCAAATTTTATTTTCATCACTACTTACAATCAAAGGAATATACTGTATAAACACACACACAGTATGTATGTATGTACATATCACAATTCTAAAGCTTTCTCTAGGCTTTTTGTGTATTATTTAAAAAGTTATGAAAAATAGCCGAAACCGGTTTGGCTCAGTGGAAGAGCATCGGTCCCAGGTTCGATTCCGGTCAAGGGCATGTACATTGGTTGCGGGCACATCCCCAGTAGGGGGTTGTGCAAGAGGCAGCTGGTTGATGTTTCTCTCTCATCGACTTTTCTAGCTATCTCTCTTCCTTCCACTCTAAAAAATCAATAAAATCTATTTTTTTTTTAAAGTTATGAAAAATAACTGGTGCCCTAGCCAGTTTGGCCTGCAGACCGAAGTGTCCCACGTTTGATTCCGGTCAAGGGCACATGCCGGGGTTGGGGGCTCAATTCCCCATAGCGGGTATGTAGGAGGCAACTGATCAGTGATTCATTGATATTTCTATCTCTCTCCCCCTCTCCCTTCCTCTCTGAAATCAATAAAAAGTATTTTTTTTTAAATTAGAAGAAAAAAAGAAAAAGCACTGGTAAGTTGCCTCACTGAACTACTCACTTAACTATTTGAAGGTGGTAGTCAGATCAAATGTTAAAATGCATAATCATTGAGCTCTCTCTCTTCATTTTAGAGTTCAATATAAATTCTATAAGTCTAACAAGGCAAAATCCTCCAGGAAAAAAAAAAAAAAAAAAAAAAAAAAAAGCCATTCTAAAGAGTAGGGTAGGTTGAGGGCATATGCAAAGCTCCCTACCACATGTATTAATTAAATATGCCACTGATGGGGGACTCTAGGAGGCCCAGCCTTAAGAAATTCCCATTTCTCCTCTAAGGCCCTTGGGGAAGGCTAGTGGCTTAGGTAAAGATGATATTGTCAGCTTAACAGTCTTCAAAGCGTCCTCCATTCGGCCTTATTGTGACAAAACAGATGAAAAGAAACCAAATTTATAAAACTATTTTAATCAGGTTATGTTTTTTTGCTATTTAGGATCTATAAGTACAAGTGGTTTTAGGTTTGTAACGCATACTGCATAAAACTAAAATACCCTCCATAAAGATGTTTCCTTCCACTAAATTTATGATTTCCAAAGTATCAACCATGTGGCATTTTGACAAAAACACAGAAGAGATGCACATTACAGCTGTCCTGGTGATCTCAGGTTTTGTTAAATGGGCTGATAACTACCAATCCACCTCCACCAAAAGCCCATGAGTTCCCAATTCGAAAGGAGTTAAAAGCTTTTTAAGAGACTGGATTAGAAAAGAGTTGAGAAAAGATTAACTGTCGTCATTAACACCCCTCTCATTAACAAGTCACATACAGACAACACAAACTTTATTAACAGGGGGAGGAAATGTTCTCCCTTTGGCTAGCACAGGTCCAGTTTGCGATCCTTTAAAATCAGGCCAAGGCACTGCTTCAACAAGTCACAGAATGATTCTGAAGCCACGCATTCTGCCTGTTGATTATCCAGGCATCGTGTTCCACTGAGTAAGGGAATAAAGGGCCTTATTCTTTTAGAGTAAAACTTATACATCAAAAATAGAGATAAAGGCTGCCTTATAAATTCTATTTGGCTGCACTGTCCTCCAAAATCTGAGCCCCATTAAAAAATATAAATGAATATGTACTATAGCAATGTCAAAACTGTTTTGAGTTGTAAGTCTGGTTCACTGGTATATTTAGCAGTAGCACACAAATTCTTGATATCTCATTACCAGATCACATTCCCAGAAAATAAAAATTTTATATGGTATTTGTTTCTTTCCTTTATTAAAATCTACTGAATTTCGTCTCTCAAGTGTCAGTCTTTGTTAAATTTAGTTAGGGTGCACTTAAACCATCACAAAGCAAGAGGTTAGATGCCAAGATTTATGGGAAGGTAGAATGCAGCAGCACTATGGGCAAATGTCTTCCAGATGGTACTTTCCAACAACTCTATCCTTGGAATGTACTGAACTCATCTCAAAGCACTATGGCCTCGGGTGGGTGTTAAATCTCACACCTAACCTCTCTTAATTAAATGTGATGATGCATGAACTAGATCCTGTTATCTTTTGTAAAGAACCTGGAGATTTCATCATAAACAAATCTTAAGAAAAATGAGTAATAGCCATGTTTGAGTACGCTGCCATGAATCTTATAGCAGAACGTGTTCACAAAATATGGAAGGGTTAAAAGAAAACTGAAGAGTCCACCCCCAAAAAAAATGATGGTCATAAAGCATTTTTCAAACAGCCATAAAACTAAGGCTTGGTGCTTACCTCTCTCGTTTGTATAGATTTTAGAATTCAACAGCTTAAGGGTAAAAAGGCCCTTTCAGGTCATTTTAAACAAATCCTCATTTTAAGGAACAGTTTCTACTATGCCAGACAATTTATATTCTCTCATAATCTAAGTTTAGTAAAGACATTCAAGGTATAACCATAACTAAAATACCTTTATTTTAACTGTTGAAATGGTATTAGAATTTAAATCATTATGCTAAAATCTGATTAATACATGCTAACAAAAAGGGGAGATTTTATATAATTGGAATAAGAAAGATATGTCAGACTGCAAAATTTCAGGGAGTAAAAGAGAGCACTCATTCAACGTATGGCATAACTTTGTGCTTTGCCATTACCTTGGTATATTTGCAACATAAAATATATTGAAGTCATAGCCTACAATTTAGATAAATAAAATCAAGCCAGTATTGAACTTTTCGCCATCCCATACAATAGAATCCTTGGCAGCTCCTTGGCCATCTATTATGATCTTGACCAATTTCTCTCTGTGGCAATTTAAAAGCTGTAAAAAAAAATACATAATGGGTGATGACAGGAGAAACAAACCCACACCAGAAATTATTGAACCTTGTAGATCTTTGCAAGTATCTATATTGACATTTAAGTATGAGTTACTATGCCACAATATCATAAAAGTGTGTTCTATACTTCAGATATATTGATAGTTAAATGCAAAGGCAGGCCACCATCAGATAAACGACTACAGGGATGGCCAATCTCAGACCACCCAGCTCTTCCACTGAGCATCCTGATCTGTTACTTAAGACAAATAAGATGTTCCTAACTCTCTTTTTGTCCAGCTTCCAACTACAATCCTGATTCAAATCCTAAAGGGATGATTAATATAATAATTCTGATCCTTGCTCTAAAATTGTTTGCTTGATATTTATTGAGGGCTTATTATGAGTCTAGCCCAGTCTTCAACGCAATGGCTGAGGATTCTAATAGTTTACCCTTGGTTAAGTCAGTGGTTAGCCCTGTCTCCAAAGGTTGTTATTGAAAAACTACTAAAGGGGTAACTTGTTAACAATGGTAAGATTAGGACTAGGGCCTGGCTGTTGTGGCTCACTTGGTTGAAAATCATCCTGTGCACCAAAAAGTCACCTGCTTGACTCCAGGTCAGCCTGTATGTATCTTTCTCTCTCCCTTTCCTTTCCTTTCTCTCTAAAATCAATAAAAAACAGATTTTTAAAAAATATCAGGACTAGGAATTAGATGTGGGTCCTATTCCAATTAAATCACTGAAAAGTTGAACTGGACAGTTCACTTAACCTTAAGGGTATTTGTTATTTGCCCTCCTTACCTCATACGTCTGCTTTGTGAGAAAAGTGAAACTAGAAAAACACTTTAAAAATGTAAAGCAAAATAATTTAAATGTCTGGTAACAGATGAAAAATAACAAATGCTTTGGTAAGTGTTCCCTCCTCTTACATTTTCCTGAAGACGTTGTGTAGAATTGATATTTCTTCCGTGTCTCTTAAAATTCACCAGTGAAGCCACCTGGCCCTGCACTTTCCTCTGTAGGAATGTTTAACTACAAATCCTATTTCCTTAACAGACACAGGGCTGGTGAAGTTCTGTATTCTGCAGTAAGCTTTAGCAGTTTGTCTTTCAAGGAGGTGATTCATTTCATCTCAGACACTGAATGTACTGACATAGTTGTTCATAATATTCCGTTTTAATGTCTGAAGGATCAGTAATGATATTGTCTTCTCTTATTCCTGATACTAGTAATTTGTACCTTTTTTTTTTTTTTCCTGGTCAGACTTGGACTATTAACTTTATTGACCTTCTTAAAATACCCACTTTCTCTACTGTTTTTGTTTTATACTTCAACTCCTTACTGCTTCCTTTGGGTTTAATTTGCTCTTCTGTTTCTAGGTTCTTCAGATGGAAAAATAGGTCACTAACTTTAGACCTTTTTTTTCTTAATCCTCACCTAAGGATATTTTTACATTGATTTTTAGAGTGGAAGAGAGAGGGAAAGAGAGAGAAACATCGATGTGAGAGAAACACATGAATTGGTTGCCTCCTGCCTGCACCCTGACAAGGGCCCGAGTCAGGGAGGAGCCTACAACAGATACTTGCCCTTGACCGGAATTGAATCCAAAACCCTTCTCTCCACTGGCTGAAGCTCTATCCACTGAGCCAAACCAGCTAGGGTAACCTTTTTGCTTTAATTGAAACACTTAATACTATAAATTTCTAAGCACTGTCTTAGTTACATCTCACTAATTTTGATATGTTATCATTTTTATTCAGTTCAAAATATTTTCTAATTTTCTCTGTAATCTCCTTTTTGACCCATGGGTTTCTTAGAAGTGTGTAATTGCAGATGTACATATTTCAGCTCTATTGCTTTTTCTTTCATACTAGAGGTCTGGTGTGCGGATCCATGCACTAGCGGGGTCCCTCAGCCTGGCCTGTGGGGACTGGACATCCCCTGAGGGGCCCCAGATTGCAAGAGGGCACAGGCCAGGCTGAGGGACCCCACTGGTGCACGATCAAGGCTGTGGAGAGACTGAAGGAGAACTCCAGGGCATGTCCGGCCCATCTCACCCAGTCCCAATTGGCGGGACCCCAGGAGCAAGCTAACATATCAGTCAGAGCATCTGCCCCCTGGTCAGTGCAGGTCATAGCAACTGGTCTAATGGTCAGACACTTTATTAGGCTTTTATTATATAGGATATTTTGAAGTTTTATTATTAGTTGTGAAAATTTTAGGATTGTTGTATCATCTTGATGAATTGATCCCTTTATTATCTAACCTAGTATTAGCTATTTCCCTTACTTACCTCATGCTGTTATGGAAAAAGAACAAGAAAACACTTTGGAAAATATACAGGAAGCAGAAGGTAAAATGTTTGATGATAGAAAGTTAAAAATAACTTTAATGAATTTTCTGAACTATCTGTAAGTTTTATCTATGCTTGTCTCCAACTATTCACATAAATGAGGTTTGCTTATGTTTTATCAGATCCTTCGATATAATTTACTGCTGTAAAGTACTGAACAAATCAGCAGTATATTACACTCCACAACTCCATCTGAGGCGAGTCTTACTGATTTGTGCCCTGATGAGAATCAAGGCACATGAAGTTCAAGTATTTGCCTCAGAAACCAAACTTACGAGTTCCCAACCTGTTGGTTGACCTCTTTAGAACAGGGCATTTTATTCCAACATAATTAAATTAGGCCTGCTGGCTCAGATATAAATTTGCTTTATTCTAAGAAATGTAGATTATAATCAGAAAAATACTTGAATTTGGTTCCTCCTCTCCATGAAGAAATAGATGAATGTGTTATAAAACTTGATCCTGAAATAGTCCTTTCAGCAAATAATTCCATGATTTCCAGTGTCCTTCCTAGCAATGAAGCACAATGCAACAGGGACTGAGTGAGTTTGAAGAATCAGACTACATTGAAAAATTCTAAAACTAGGCCCATGACCTAGTTTTATATGGAAAAATCTGTCATTGTTTAATTTTGACAGACTACTTTTACTAGAAAGGAAATCCAGACTACAAAGTCTACAGCCTCGCTTGTCCATTATTCTCTTTTTAGAAAATCACACACAATTAACAAGCTTTTCATCCTGTGTTAATACCCCAGGGACTTGATAACCAGCCAACAACTCAGTCTTCTGTCTCTCAAATCCTAGGCAAGACCACACCACAAAACTACATCGACCCAAAATACTGGATGAGTTTTTTATTTAAAATTATTGACTTCAAAAACTAACTCCTAGATATTTTAGGAGTCACTTGATGGAAGTGTTAGGCCTACAAGGTTAGTAGCTATCACCTACCCAAATTCTTCCATATAAGATAAAGGAATTAAGGACAAATGGCCCACCCAAGGTTACTATACTGATACTTAGTGGCAGAAATAAGATCCCAGGATTCCGGAGCCATTTCCCCCCATTTGCCTCTTTCTTTTGCTGTAAGGTAACCTTTTCTTTCTTGAATCAGTAAAATTCATTTGGATAGGAGTTAAAGACCCAGAGTATATTGATCTGAATGACTCCAAAAAAAGATAGGCATGTCCTAATCCCTAGAATTTGTGAATTACTTTATATGTGATTAAAAGATAGGAAAGGAGAATTTCTCTTGGATTACACAGGTGGGCCTCACATGCAATCACATGTACCGTATAAAAGAGGCAGAAGGAAATGTTAAGACAGAGCAAAGAGAGATGAGACCAGAGGATGAAGCTGAAAATCACCAGAAGCTTAATTTGTTACAGCAGCCACAGATACTAACACAGGGAGACAAAAAAAAAAAAAAAAAAAAAAAAAAAAAAAAAAAAAAGAAGAAGCTTCAGCAGCAGAAGAAAGAAACCAAATGGAGCTAACACAGGGGAAATAAAAACTTTAAAACCATAAACTGAATATATGTAAAACCAATTACTGATACAAAAAGAAGTGTGCTTCAAGTGACCCAAAGACTGCCGAAAACCTCTAATCCCTCATTTCAAAGGCTAAATGGAGGCAATCACAGGATGCAATTTACCCCAAAATACTGGCAGAATCTGAGCAGACAAAACCAGAAAGGTTTAATATTTACATAGCTGCTAAGAAAAACAGTATAGGTTTCCCCTCAACATGCTCGCTGGTAGAGCTCCTGGACAGACTAAACATAGGCAACAGTTGTCACTGCGGGTGTTCTGCCAACAGAAGTGTAAAGTTGTCATCAGAAATGAATATGTGGCGTCAAGTGGCTTGCAGAAATCCAACAAATCTGCATCTTGGACTCGGCACAAGCCAACTCTTCTCAGGATGGCCTGGACTCCTTCCCATTAGTTCAATGATCAGCTAAAGCCATCCTCTACAAGGAGCAAAGGAAAATCAAAGTTTACATCAGGAGAAAGAGACAATAAAAAGCCCAGAGTCCAAGTTCACGAACAACAATATGTAAATAGCAGCCATAGAGACTGAGTCAGTTACAAGTGATATTTCACACTATAATTTATTAGTTTTTAAAATCACAGCACACAGCTTTAGGCCCAATTTCAGATAAGGTGAATGGAAATAAAAATAGAGCAAGCAGTTGAAACTGGTTTGGCTCAGTGGATAGAGCGTTGGCCTGCGGACTGAAAGATCCCAGGTTCGATTCCGGTCAAGGGCATGTATCTTGGTTGCGAGCACAACCCCAGTGGGGGG